CTACTCTTCTCTCCTTCTCTCAATCTATCGAACAACACAGATGGCAAAATTTGGTGAAATATGGAATTGGAACAAAGAAGAAGAGATTAGTTTAATGTCCGAGTGTCTAAAGTCTTGTAGTTATATCGCAATTGACACTGAATTTCCCGGATGCTTGAAAGAGACGACGATTAAAGCGAGTGAAGAAGATCGATACAGAGACTTAAAGTTCAACGTCGACAGAACCAAACTTATTCAGTTGGGTTTGACATTGTTCGACAAAGGAGGAAGAATCCGTGGCACATGGGAGATCAATTTCTGTAATTTCGATGTCACAAAAGACGCAAGCAACGAGAAATCTATAGCGTTCTTGAGACGAAACGGCTTGAATTTCGAGAAAATCAGAGCCCAAGGAATCCCAATCGAAGAGTTTTTCAAACAATTTTCTCAGATTCTCAACAAGAAGAAATTGATTTGGGTTAATTTCGATGGATCGTACGATATGGGTTACTTGGTTAAGGGTTTAACCGGAGGTGAATCCTTACCAGAGACATCAAAAGGTTTTAAGGAAGTGGTTGAGAGACTTGTCGGAGATGTTTTCGATGTTAAGAAGATGTCTGGTCTATGCAAAGGACTGAGTAGTCGTTACGGGTTACAGAGAATAGCCGATGAGTTTCATATTAAGCGTGTCGGGGAAGCTCATCACGCCGGATCGGATAGCGAATTAACCGCCCGTCTTTATACAAAGATTGCTCTCATCTTGTATCATGACTACAAGAGGAAACGTTCTGAAACTGATCAGGAACAACAAAAGCAACATATTCAAGAGCGTATTATTCATCATCAAGATTACAAGAGAACGCGTCTTACTGCTCAGCATCAACATCTTCACGAGCTTATGATTCACCAGGATTACAACAGAATGCATCTCAGAGCTGCTCAACAACAACAACATATTCAAGAGCTTATGATGGCTAGATACTATGTACCGCAACCGCCACCATCGAGTATGTTTGCTAGTTACCATCCTTTTGGTAGTCACTTTGTAGTACCAATACCGAGATTGAACTATGTATGATCAACTAAGGATTAATAGGAATGTAAAAGCATTAGAATTCGTTTATATACATGAAATTTGATTAGCTTCTTATTAATGAAATAAAGCATATCTAATTTTGTATGCATTATTGGAATAAAGCATATCTAAATTTGTTTGTTACTAATTTACCGTAAGCATATCTAGAAGACCAAACTTTGAAGTAAAGATAAATAAACGGGGATAGTTAAGTTCGATAAATCTTTTGTGGTGATTGATAAATTATTGTTGAAAAATGAAATATTTTTAAGCGTGATTTTGTTTAATGTATGGTATTTAACAATGTAGTATGTTTTCGAAAATATTAAGTGCATGGCATGCCAAATAACCATAATACCCTTCTGATTTAATGAAAGACATTATGATTAGACAGTTTTGTGTCAGATTGTGTCAGTCCAAAATTATGACATACCATTAGTTTAAAAATAAATAAATATATTTTTTCTTTCATCATTTTATTTTCCAATTGAATTTTGTTTGATCTAATATTTTGTTTAAAACTTTATTTTTTTTATCTTCGTATATAAAAAACCTAATTTTTCTGAATTTGAAATTTTGAAAATCAACATATATTACACAAACTGTTCATATAATGTTCCAATGAAACGTAACATTATATATGACATACCATAATATATTATTCATATATGCAATATAACATATTATAACCTGAAAACGACATTACATTCAAAAATAATGAAGATCATATTTTATTATTTTTATGATTAACCAGACTATTATATAATCTCATAATAAAAGATAATATAGTATACTATATACGGTCTATCTTTTGTATGGTATACCATGTTATATAAAATATAGCATGTTATATATCATATAACTTGTCATATATTAATATGGTATGTCATGCTATTATTATATGATATGCTATCTACGAGTAAACATAGTAATATGTTTTAAATATTTTTAATAACATGATGAATATGATATGTTATCTAGTAGTATGGTATATCATGTTATCATATAAAATAATGAATATAATATAAATATAACATGTTATATAGTAAAATGACATGTTATTTGATATATTACCTTTTATTGTAATATTATAAAAATAGTTTTAGTAATTTATGTCCACTTTTAAAATTTCAAATTGTAACATATTTTAACATATAGATTATGAGATGATTCAACTTTTAAAGAAACTATTATATCAACAAATACTAAATGGGAAAACTATTTGATG